GGCAACCTCTGCTTTGGTGCTCTCTTCCGAACTGCTCATCAACATCACCATCAGCTGAACCAAGAAGGTACTGACAATGGCGAAGTTTCCCTGAGACCAAGAGTGCCAGAACTCGCTCCACGGTCCAACCATGGAGACCATGGCCTCCAGAAGCTCGACAGCCTCTCTCGCGCAGTTTATGGAGCCTGTCACAACCGCTGCTGCGGCCGACATGTGACTATCCCCCAACAATGGCGCGGTAGATATGCCCGCTTGGGTGGGCCGTAGTAGAGCACGGAACAGAATGATGGACGTGACACAGGCGGCCAGATGCACGGATCCGCTGGCACCGGGCTCTCCGCTTCCATCGAGCGGCATGATGACCTTCAGCTTCTGCTTGCACTCGTTGAGCGCCGAGCGAAGCGGCTTGGCGAATTCGAGCGACTTGAAGAGGTCCGACGCCGTTTCCTTGGCCGCACGAACCGTGTAGTACGTCCTGCAAATCTGCGATAGCAGGTGTGACGTGTCGACAAGGCAGTTGAAGTGAGTGTACTCTGGCATGTCTGGTCTGTGGTCAATTCTGGCGACGTCGCCATCCCCCGGGAGCGGCACATCGTAGTCGTCTGGACAGATAGATCGGCCTCCCGGCGTGTCGATGCTGACCCAAACGTCCATGATGAACGTGGCCCACCATAACCGCTGGCGCAGCTGCTTCTCTGCCAGGGGGATACTCCAATTGGTGCAGTCATGCTGCAAGCCCAGAGACTTGGCAATCGTGACGGTCATTGAGGCAAAGGCCGAATATGTCGGCGTCAGTCCCTGGTGCTGGACTGTGGGCCCTTTCTGCAGCAAGAGCAAGCATGCCTGGAGAGTCTCGATGGTGGGCGCATTGGCTTCGGCGAGGACGGCTGCAACGGCCATCGAGTACAGCTGTTCACGCTTGCCATTGGCATCAGTCAGCGTGGCATTTAGGTAGTCATTGTGGATCGAGAAAGGCAGTGCGGTTGCATAGATGCAAGCTGACAGAGATAGCGAGGCCGTGCTGAGGTCACACTCGTCGTGACTGTGACTGTCGCTGTCGGCTTTGGCCCCGGCGGCTCCAGACAAGACCGGAAAGGCAGGCTGGACAAAATGAAAGAACAACTGGACCAACTCGTGACGTTGCTTCTCCGAGAGCAGCTCCTCTACGTCTTGCCACGGCGTGGCAGGCTGCGAAGTCGACGCCGCACCGTTGGGCAGAAAGGGCGCGTGCTCTCGGACCATGAGAACGGGCACCACTTCGTCAGGAGCGTGGGCTTCGTTTGCCGGTCGAGCCCGCTCTAGCCGAATATGTGATACTTCCAAGTGATCTCTTCGGTTCATCAGATTCAGCATGACGTGGCGGTTTAGATGGCCCGTGTCAGGCGGTACCTGAGCACGCCGAAGGCTGCTCGTGTCCAGAGATAGCGGCTTTCCCGGGAATGGATGTAGACTCTGCAGCCGGCTGTGCTGGGGACTGTTGCTTACTGGGCGGCCGTCCGAGCGCGTCTGGACATGTTCGATCGGGTTCTGCGACGTAGGACTCTCGTCCTCTGCAAGTTCCAGGCTCTCAAAGATGTCGCCATCGAAGGGCTCGGAGGCGAAGTCCTCCCACGTGTGAGAAAAGGACGCGAAGCCCTCTATCTGTGACAAGTGATGGCCATCTGCCAGAGAATGAGAGGAAGGGAGCATCTTCCGTCTCTTATTGTTCGGTCCGTTCTGAAACGTGCAGGCCCAGCCGCGAGTCGCACAGAAGGCACACGGCGGCGACGAGTCAATTCGACACGCGATCTTCCTCCCGCGACACGCATCGCACGGGCGATCGCGCCGGGAGCGAAAGGGCCTGGGTCCCTCTTGACGCGTCGAGATGTCCATCTGACGCCGTCACGCACATCACCTAGGGGGTGTGTCATACCAGCAAAGATAAAGGAGGAGGAAGAGGAAGTGGCACGATGGCGGAGCGGGAAATCTTAGCTGAAAGCGGCTAGGTGGCATTGGTAATAGTGTCTCTCTGCACGTTTACCTGTCGAGGAGATCAAGGGGGCACACGGGAGAGTACGGTAGGTATCCTATTGTGCTGTTCTAGCGGGTTCCAGGGGGCGTCATGGCTGGCTCCAAAGCCTCAGGGCAACAGGCGCATTTTATGGTCAGATTCTCATCTTCCACCTCGTCGCCGTAGACGCTGGATGTCGCAGATCTCCGCGTCGTCTATCCACTGAGCCTTGCCCGCCAACGTCGCCCAAGCATGCGGGGAGAATGTGCTTGGATCGAGTAGATACTGTGCACCATGTTGCGAGACGCGGGTCCTTCTCCTGGGTAAGAAGCACGGGCGGTATAAATCCGAGCAATGCCTGTCCTGAGAGCCCGGGTTAGGGCCTCATCGATGCAAAGATGCCTTCCTTCCGCGTCGCAGTTCAGAGCAAATCCTGCCTCCTCGGCACGTTTGTCAGTTTCAATGATCCCTACAGCGCCCAAGTCCTCGCGAGATGTGGTTTCGACTGGTTGATGATCGACATGGAGCATTCGCCGCTCTCGGCGCAAGAGATCACGTCAATGGTGCATTCTACAGTTGCTGCCTCCGCAGGGAGCTGCTGTCCGATCGTCCGCATCCCGTCTCATGGCGTGGAATGGATCAAATGGGCCCTCGATAGCGGCGCCAGCGGCATTATTGTGCCCATGGTGAACAACAAGCAGGAAGTCGACGCCATTCTCAAGCGCGCGCTGTATCCACCGGCCGGGCAACGAAGCTTCGGCCCTTTTCGTGCGCCGTTTGCAGACATGGCCGGCTCTCTGGACATGGCGGAATACAAGCGGAAGACGGCGCCAACAGTTGCCATCATGCCTATGATCGAATCAGTGGAAGCGGTGGAGAATGCCGAGGAAATTGTGGGAGCGCAAGGCGTGGATGGGATTTTCATCGGACCCGTCGATCTCAGGCATTCACTCGGCTTGGAAGGCCCGGAAGGAGATGAGAACGCATATTTAGCAGCCTTGCAGAGAGTACTGGACATGGGCAAAAAGTTTGGCAAAGCAATTGGTATTCTGGGCACTCAAGAATCAGTCCCTCGACTGGTCAAAATGGGATTCAGCTTTATCATGCTTGCGGGTGGTGACGCAGGGATTATGGCAGAAGCAGCGTCGGCGAAACTCAAGGCATCAAGACAGTCGATAGGCTGAATTCCATGTCATGCTGCAGGTGAACTGGCCGGGTCGCTGTCATCTAGTCCTGAGATCCTTCATTCCCAGGGCCAACCATTTCCACGGCGGTATGCTTCATATACGCGAACTGCTCCTCGTTCCACTCCGCCATCAGCTTGGCAATCTCGTCTCCTGAAAGCTGGCCGTTGGCAATTCGCTCTCTAAGCAACCTGGATCGCTTTTCGAGCACCTCGAGTCGGTAGGTCGACCATTGCTTAAAGAGCTGATCCCAATGGCTGCTTTTCTTGACATTTCCCAGGTTGCTGACGTCCTTCAGACTTGGATCTCTGGGCCGGAAGGAAGTCACCATGGTCACACGCTCACCAGTGCCAACAGCGCGCAAGGCGATATGTTCAATGCACCCTCCTTGCATCATCACAGCCCAGCCAACCTGTGGTCCTCGGATCTTGGCGATCGTGCCGTCACCCTTCCGGAGCCCCGTCTCGCCTCCCACCATGTTGGACGGATCTGAAAGCATACACACACAGACCCACGGGTACGAGTCGGTGTGCCATCGCCCAACCGAAGCAAGCTCTTCGGACTGGTCAACCGCAGCGGGGGGAGTGGACAACGCCTGGCTGGGAGGCATCGCTGGCGGCAGGGCCTGATCCAAGGACATTCCATCTTCAAGTGCGTCCACCTGGACATTGATGTGCGCGATCTCGTAGTCGAAGACTACCTCCAGATCGACTCCTGCGGCGGTGGAGCAGGCCTTGAGGACCTCTGGGCTGCGCCAAGCAGCATCGACAAAGGGCGTGTCTTTGGAGTATCCACGCATCTTGTAGCAGTTTCTCTTGGTTCGGTCGCCATGTTTGTTCACGATTTCTTTGCGGAAGAGGTCTGCACGAATTTGCTTGACGCCCTCGAGCGTGAACAGCGGGAACGGCTCGGTGATGGCAACTGGTGAAATGGCATTACTCTCCGACAACAGCAACTCCTTGAGGGTGATAACGCTCTTGGGTGGCTCGAAGCACAGGTGTTCCGCGGCATCGAAGCGAGCGGGAGTCGCCAGAGTGGTTACGAGCGGCTCAATCTTCTCGAAAGCATGGTCCACGCTCGGCACGGGAAGGACAGTAGTCGCCATGGTGATGTGTGTATCGGGATAGTGTGCTGCAGCGGTTTTCGTATCACTCACTTCTACCTGCAATTTATAACCGTAACGCGGCCGTCTTCGCTCCACAGATCTTTAAGATTTCCACAACCACCGTATCCACGCGTGGCCGAAGCCAGAGGATTGGCGGGCCTCTGCACCGCGCCCTTGGCCATCTGCGTGTGGGCGAAGACAATGTCGATGGCGACGGGCAATAACTGAGTAGACAGCGAGGTGCACAGAGCCGACGGACATCTCCTACAACATCCCCGATTGCCCTATACCCTGAGGGTTGTTCTTTGAGGCCGCGAGATAAGCTCCATCGAGGCCAGATTAGCGTTAGCCTGACTGCCGATATTCCCTTGGCCGATCATTTCTTGCCCGTAACAGAGTTCAACCACGCGGCCATTTGCCTATCAGGGTGGCGGGCAATGGCTGCTCCAATCACGCCCCGAGATTTGACCCCAAGCGGGCAACCACGATAGTCTGGTGTTAACATTCTGTATACCGATAGACCTTGGCATCCCCATGTCTATCAGAATACGGGAAGCAAGGCCTGACTCGATACAGGCCTATCAGCGTAGATAGCTTGGTATCGAGGTCAGATGCTGAACGTGAGGTGAGAACCGACATACAAAAGCGGCACCGCTTCCTTCAGTTTCAAACACGCCTTGCATCAAAGTCCAGAATTCCTTGACGAAGACCGGCGGCAAGAATGGGCGTCCCTGAAGACACGAAAGTTGCGACCGCAAGTCCCGCCTCTGACGAGGCCGCGGAGGTGGGCTCCGTCAGAGAGCTGAAGACTCTACATGTCGATGGCGTCGATCCCGTCTTTGAGCACCAAGCCAGGCTCGTGAATCATGCGGTCCAGTCTATCGGCATGGGCAAGGTAAAGCTGAGTCGTCCCGATAGAGCGCTAGCAACCCTGACAGTGAACAGTACCAATGGGCTTTGTTCTTCCTCTGCGGCTATGGCTGGTTGTGCGATCAGGTGAGTACTAGGCCAGAGATTGGTGTGTCTCGAGCTAAGGGTGGCAGCTTTGGCAAACGACTGTATCAGACGCGCTTGGTCAAGTAGCAGTGGAATTTCAGCCGCAGCACTCGGCCTTTCTGTCCCTTGCTCTGATTGCAGGTCTTGTTGTGGGAGCCTCATTCTGGGGTCTTGGATGTAAGCAAATATGCTTAAAGCGAGACCGACAGAAATGCTGACCTCGACAGGTGATTTGATTGGAAGACGACTCGCATTCAACTTGACCTTGCTGATTGCCGGAGTCTTCGGGACTGCTGCTGGCGCGGCCAACAGCTTCGTCAGTTGCGCCGTGCTTGTCTCGTTCTGCGGCTTTGGGGTTGGAGGCAATCTGCCCGTTGACTCCGCCGTGTTCCTCGAATTTCTGCCAGGCACCCATCAATATTTGCTCGAGATCTTGGCTGTTTGGTGGTCAATCGGGCAAGCTATCCCAGCAGGGGCGGCTTGGGGCTTCATCAGCCGTTATTCCTGCAGCGAGGACACCCCAGCGGGACAGTGTCAGAAGAAGGACAACATGGGATGGAGATATCTTATGTACTCGATGGGCGCCATCACGCTGGCTGCTTTCTTTCTGCGCTTTGCCTTTTTCCGACTGCGCGAAAGCCCTCGGTACCTAATCGGTCAAGGACGGTACCAAGAAGCCATTGACGTGCTGAACGACGTTGCAAAATACAACGGCACCACACAACCACTGACAGTGGAGGATCTGCTGCAGGTCGAGAGAGATTATGCCGTCGCGGGGCACCCAGCGGCTGTGAACAGGCCGACTGCCTGGCAAAGGACCATGGCCCAATTCAAACCAGGTGGCTTCAAGCACATCCGAGCGCTGTTCTCGACCAAGAAAGTGGCATACAGCACAAGTTTGATTATTCTGGTATGGGGCATGATAGGTTTGGCTTCACCAGTAAGTCTTCCTGCACTGTTTTGGTCAGCACGGCCGGGTCATGGTCCTCAGAGATTACCTTGCACCACGTTCCTTCAATACTGACGTACTCGCAGTTGTATGCGAATTTCCTTCCCCAGTATTTGGCGCTGCACGGAGCCCAGGCTGGGTCCAGCAGCATTGCCATCACATACCGGAACAACTTCATCATCATTGCTTGCTCGATTCCTGGCACGCTGATGGCGGGCTGGTTCATTGGCTTGCCCAAAATTGGCAGAAGAGGCACTCTTGGCATTGCTCTGATCCTTACCGCGGTCTTCCAATTCGCCTTCACCACAGCCAGAACACAGGCTTCCATTCTGGCCTTCAACTGCATCACCTCCTTCGTATCGTATATGTGAGTATACCGGTTCTTTCCGGTTCTTTTTCTGCCCCATTGCTGACCTGCCTCGCAGCATGTGGGGAGCCTTATACTGTTATACACCTGAGGTCATACCAAGTATTCACCGTGGCACGGGATGTGGGCTGGCCTCAGCCTTCAATCGAATCTGTGGTCTTCAGGCACCGATTATCGCGACGTATGTGGGGTACAACAACAAGCCGATTTTCGTCTCGGCGAGTCTGTACATCGTGGCCGGCTTCATCAGCTTCATTTTCCCCTACGAGACCAGCGGAAAGGCAAGTCTTTGAGGATAATGCCGGATGCAAGCTGGTAGAGTTGGGACCTCCCATCGTTGCGCGTCAGCTGCTAGGGAATGACTGTGGGACATCACGCCGCCTAACATGAGCGTCCCTTGACCTCCACTGCGAGGTGGCAGCGTTGGCTTTGGACCGCCCGTGGATACCGCATATACTCGAATCAAGGGGTAAAGCCTAGTTCCTGCAAAGTCCAAGGTATCAGTTCCGCTAGATCATCAGGGTCTTTCTCGCCTATCGGTTTCGCGAATTCGAACAAGAACCGGTGCATCCATCGGTCCATGCGGAATGAAGTCTCCTTGTACTTCTGGCACGCTTTGTGAAATTCGCGGAATCTCGTAAAGCACACATCTAGCGTTGGCCAAAAGGTCTGGAGCCTTGTCAAAATCTCGAAATTCCTCTCCAGACGAGAGCGAGCAGCACGGATCTGTGCTTCGTCAGAACTGAAAACTAGAATGTGAAGCTGAATGGTGGACGCGATGACCAGCACGTGTCCCACCATCGTGTAATAGACCTCGCAGCCCGCAGTAGAGTAGGCACGGTAAAGGATCTCGCAGAGCCCGATCGAGTGGCCCTTGCACTTGTCGGCGTAGTATCGGGCTTGGACAGTGTCGTCATATGAGTCCCCGTGGAGATATGGGTAATACAGCAATTGTCCATAGTGATAGTAGCCCAAATATACGGCAACAAACATAGGCCCCAGTCCTAGAGCGGCATAGCGGGACAGATTTGCGTCAGTGTCTTGCAGCCCGATGGGCAGGTTGTTGTACCAGTCGTCCAGTTCCGCAGAGAGTGCGTTCACAGCTGTCCCGTGATCTGCGCCGAGTTGGAACTCTGAGGCAGCCCTTTCGTTCAAGAGGCTGACCTCGAACAAGATAGCATTCAGCTTGATCATTTGCGTCAGCAGTGAAGCGCTGGATTCTTGCATGCTGGTAGGACTGGGCAGGTCAAAGTCTTGCCGGCTCAATTGGTGAAAGACCGTTTCCTCCATAGGGTAAGGAACATCGCTTCTCGGCGTCAAGGATCGATTTATGCCGACACCCCTTGAGGACCATACGTCCACCATGCATAGCGTCCACCAAGCTCGGCAATTCACCTCCTGCTCGACTCTGGATATGACGATCATGTTGGGAAGGTCGAGTAACAATGCATTTCGACAAGCCACACTGTAGAAGACTGCCTCTGCAGCGGCTTCTCCTTCAGTAATGACGTAGGCCCCTAAGAGAACAGCGGCTTGCAGAGTTATCAAAGACACGTCACGGAGATTGAGGAGGTGTTCCGCTTCCTGCGCATATCGTCTGCCCCTAATTCTGGGGTCAATCCCCGCAAAGTACGCATCATTGGAGAATCTTGCGGAAAGACTGATCATGCCATACAAGAGGACCGGAGGAATCGTGGCGTTAATAACATCCTGCATCAAACTCGGGGGGTGGAACAGGGAGTGAAAGGTGTCGTGGATATAACGAAAATACAGCTCGACCAGCTCGACACAAAGAGATTGTGGAGGCAAGTCGCTGCTGATGCTCCCGCACCGCGTCAGCTCCACCTCGCTTGTGCTGGGAGAGGTCGACGACTGATTCGGCCAGTTTCCAGTAGAGTGAGAGGTGGAAGTGAAGGAGCAGTCGACATTGCGGTTCTTGCAGTAAACACACGGCGCACCGGGAGCAGTCACCTCGCATCTGCGACGACGGCTCCTAAGGGTGATAATGCGTTAGCTGGTGGGAATCGTGACTTTGATATGAGGATGCGTACCGGCAAACGACACAGGCGGTGGGAGGTCGCATTATAGCAGGTCCCTGTTGCCTGATAAAAGGCTTGTCAATCAGCTGAAGTGTAGGTGAAATGGAAGTGAGCTGGACTTGACGTCAGTCGTCAGTCGTCAGCCATGCGCGTCGTGTGCATTGCAATGAGCTGGCTATTACCGCCAGAATGCGTCCGATGGGGAACCTGATATTATGGACCAGTGCCAGTGCACTTCCGAAATCATGTCGATTTGCTACAGAGATAGATGAAGGAGGCGAAGGAGGAAGAACAGGAGTCAACTCCGTGTTCTCAGATCACTTCAATTCGCCAAGCGAGCAGCCTCTTTCCCCGCAAATGCAGACGAAGAGGCTTGGGGAGCCGAGTAGCGACATCAAAAAACATCTTGAGCAGGCCAGTCTAATAATGCATTGCCAAATACACCAGATCCGCCCAGAAACTGTCGGATGGGATCACTGAAATCAGAGCTCGTCCTTTGTCATTGCATACCGTTGAGAGCCACTGGTCAAACTGCGCAATCTGAACATGCGAACACCATGGCGAGGGGCGGTCGCACGCAGAACATCGTGCTTTGGGCCAATGCTGCCAACTCGCTTCCCCAGTAGTCGCGGATCGGCCTTGGCCAGGCCTTCCTTGTACGGCGTCTGAGTTGAGTTGTACCACGAGGTCTTGTCCTGATGCTTTCCTGCCAGAATTTGCTCTGCCGTGTGGTGTTGCATGCGATCCGCCCACAAGTCATATACGTCGAATTCATCCCTGCTTTGAGGTGCCGAACCCTCGGGGCCTTCGTGTATGAATATATCGTTGAGCGTAGTCGTCATCTCAAGGTCCTCGTCGGCTGCGTTCAGGAAAATGACTAACTGGTCGTGACGCCAAAGCGGACCGCTCCAAATTTGTGTTTCTCCTTGCCCGTACTTGTCTTTCTTGACTTGTTGGTCACGGGAGATTTGAGCGACGGATCGGCCGAGAGGATCTTGATTGACGGCAATCACAGCCGGATTGTTAAGGAGAGTGAGGGTCTTCGCAGACAGTCTGCGAATGTCGGTTCCGATGAGCAGAGGGGACTTCAAGGCGGCCCACATGGAGAAGTGTGCCTATGAACATTGTTGTTAGGGATATGACCAAGACGAAGTTGATCGGTTGGTCCTACCTTGTACTCCTCATCATTCATTCCGCCCTGCCCTACCTCAAGCATGTCCAAGTCGTTCCATCCGCCGAACTGTCCACGGTCGACGTAAGGGGCGACTTTGTTGATAATGTTCATCACCGAGCAATGCGTGCCCGGTGCAACACAATGGGGGTCGCGGGGATCATCGCATGCACACAAAGCATCTGGTCGGTTGAAGTGATCATAGATATCGCCAGAGACCCGCCAGGAGTTGGCGATGGACATACCCCAGGTGTGTACATAGTCCTCCCCCCAAGAGCACAGTGAGTACAGAATAGGGCGACCCGTCGCGTTAAGGGCCTTTGCCATGGTGTTGTAACGATTGAAGGAGATCTCGGGATAACCGAAGCGGCCCAGGTGATAGCAATTGTCGTACTTCAGATAGTCGACATCCCATGCAGCCCAAATCTCGGCGTCCTCCTCTTCATGGTCGAGTGAGCCTTCATATCTGGCACAGGTCAACTCGCCGGCACTGGAGTACATGCCAAAAAGGAAGCCCATGTCATGAAGTTCGTCAGCGATCCATTTCATGCCTCTGGGAAACTTGGTTGGATCCGGTCGTAAGTACCCGTCATCATTGCGGCCGTCGGACCAGCAGTCGTCGAGGACGACATAGTTGTATCCCACGTCTTTCAGGCCGCTTGAGAGGAGGACTCGGGAAGTGTCGAGCAAGAGATCCTGCGAGACGTCACAGCCTAGTGAGTTCCAGTTGTTCCACCCCATCTGAGGAGTTTGGGCGAGTCCATTGTTGACGGCGGTCACACCTTTGCTTAAAAGGGCTTGAAAAGGCAGTAGCAACATTGTAGGTATGGCAAAGAACGTGGGAATAGGGACAGGAGATACTGCTGGTCGTGACTGGAGCAGTCGCGACGCAGATATATCTCGAGGACACGAGGGAGCCTGGAAATTAATACACTTCTGCAGAACGTGCGGGTTACAGAGACGTGGATACACGGACTGACCCCTCAAATGCGGCTTTCATCGTCCTCGAAGCTGTGTTGCCTTAGCTGCCATAGAACGGGGCGTAGCACTCAAGCGGTGGAGTCATAGCGCATCACGAGCTACCACAGTAGGTGGGCGGAAAATCACCCTTGGCGAAGCTGCGAAGCATACTGCGATCCAGTGGCCAAAGACATGTCGGCATATCCATTGCTGGTACGGGACCAGTGCCGTGCATGGAAAGGCACACTGCGCAGAGCGACAGAGAGGCCGCCAGAAGCACGAGAGAATCGCAGATGCAGGTCCACGTCGTGCAGGAGACCCGCTTTTCAATTCCGCCACTAAAAAGTGCGGGAGCCAATCGGGGAAATTTAAACCCGCCTAACCTTCCGCACTTCCCATCTCGTCAGTTTCGCCTCATCCGAGACTCATGCAGCTGTGAAGCCAGCTTCGGTCAACGTCTTTCTTTCTGTCTCCCGCATCACACCACGGAGTTGGCTCTTCATTAAGCTTGTAAACGTCACAACTCGTAAGACGTACCTGCAAGAAGGGATTCGATCCACAGTAGAATCGGCTTAGGGCCAACCCCTGAATCCTGCCGCAAACCCTACCAGCTTCAGTTGAGATGTGGTGCATATTGTGATGGAGAGTAAGTAGGCGGTGCTTTGGACCGATCTGGCACGTGCTCGAGTCTCACAAGATATGCAGAAGATGATTCGAGTCCAAGCACCCCGTCACGGACCAGCTTAGATGAAGACCATCCCGGCGATCGTCCACTCCTGGCAGATTCGCTTGCTGCCGCCGACGATGTCGAAGCACGTGACCTCCATCAGCATGGACAGAGCTCATTTCGCGATGAGTGGGACCACGATGAGCGCATGAGCCAGGACATTGATGGCCTTGGTCAACCTGCCTCTGCTCGATCCCGGTTCGAACATAAGTTGACAGTTCGCGAGGCTATCAAAGCGTACCCGATGGCCATCTTCTGGTCCTTGGCGGTGAGCATGTGTGTCATTATGGAGGGCTTCGACAGCATTCTGGTGCCTAATTTCTATGCCTTCCCTACATTCCAGCGAAAGTGTATGTCATCCAACCATAGACTTTGGCCTTTCTGGTGCGCTGATGTGCTGATGTGCAACAGATGGTGAATTTGTCGGGGTTACAGACCAGACAAAGTCTGGATATCAGCTCAGCGCTACCTGGATGGCCATTGTGAGTGCGACTCCAATTTGAGACCTAGCCAACAGATCGAGAAAGGCGAACTCGGTCACTAGGCCCATTTGCCTATGTTGCTCGCAGCGCTGACTTGTCTTACTTCAGATTGGGACTGCCTCTGGCATCGGCGCGGTGCTAGGTACTATCCTCAATGGCCACCTCGTCGACCGTTTTGGGCAGAAGCGAGTCCTTGTCGGAGCGTTGTGCACGCTCTCGGGCCTGATATTCATGACCTTTTTCGCTCCCAACATTCAAGTTCTGGCCTTCGGACAGTTTCTTTGTGGATTTCCATGGGGTATCTTCGCCACAGTCGCTCCTTCGTACTCGTCCGAGGTCCTGCCCCTGGTCCTTCGCTCGTATCTTTCCAGTTTCACGAATATGGCTTTTATCATTGGCCAGATTATATGTGCCATTGTCATTCGAGTATTCTTGGAAAGGGATGATGAATGGGGATACCGCATCCCATTCGGGTTCCAGTGGATTTGGCCATCTTTTCTGATTCCGCTGCTCTGTTTCGCCCCGGAATCGCCATGGCATCTCGTGCGCCAGGGTCGGCTGAATGAGGCGGAGGCCTCCCTCCGTCGGTTGCAGTCATCGACCGCGAGAGGCATTGATGTGAAAGACACCTTGACCGATATCGTCCACACCAACAATCTTGAAAAAGAGCTCCAGGTCGGTACATCGTACTGGGATTGCTTCCGTGGGTTCGAACTCCGCCGCACAGAAATCGCCTGTCTGGTTTTCGCAGGCCAAAACTTTTCAGGCTTGTCGTTTGCTTATAACGCCACTTACTTCTACGAACAAGTCGGCCTGTCTGCTGAGACGACATATACTCTTAGTCTCTTGGGCACCAGCCTAGCACTGCTTGCAACACTTGCAAACTGGTTTCTTCTCATGCCTTATTATGGCCGCCGGACCATCTACACGGTGTCTATGTTGGTCATGGCTTCAATCCTCTACCTCATTGGGACATTGACCCTGTGGACTGATCACTTCTTTGTTGCGATGACGCAAGCTTTGCTCACTATCGTCTGGACTATCACCTTTCAACTCTCTGTCGGCCAACTCGGATGGTCTATTCCAGCCGAAGTGGGGAGTACTCGCCTACGCACAAAGACAATATGTCTCGCTCGCAACGCCTACTACCTGGTTGGCTTCATCGGTGGCGCCGTTCAGCCATATATGCTGAACCCCGAGAGTCTTAACTGGAGAGGATACACTGGGTTTTTCTGGGGCACGACCGCAATCATGACCTTCGTGTGGGCGTGGTACAGGTTGCCGGAGACCAAAGGGAGGACGTACGAGGAGCTGGACTTGTTGTTTGCCAAGGGCATTGATGCGCGGAAGTTTGAGACTACCGATGTCCATGCTTTGAATGAAAACGAGATGAGGCCTTTTACACAAGGGGCGTCAATACGCACGGCTTCCACGGGCAGGCGAAGTCCGGAGTGGGATATTGTGGATGAAAACGAGCCGCTGAGGAGCAGTGGTGAGATTGAGCGGACTGAGAGTGGTCTATCCCGCTTTCAAAATCATCGAGACAAGCTTGGGCGGTAAATGAGAAAGAGGAATGTTCGTAAGCTATGCGCAGCATTCCTGTCATTTTTCTCCTGTGTGGATACGAGCACAGTCCTGGAAACCAAAAGACCATTCGACACGACCTCATCGATTGCCGACCCAAGACGGAGAATCAACCAGGGCAGTGTCCCAATCGGGCCGAAAGGGTCCTACCACAGGCTGGCTCGCTTGAATCAACAGCCACTTCTGGTTCACACAGTATCTTCCCCGCACTCAGTTGCATTGCCTGAAGCGACGAAGCTCCCGCCACTGGCTCCGCTTGTCTGGGGATTGCTCGAAGGCCGTCGAGGTCTTCTTGACGGAGATCCCCATCCCCAGTTCGTGGTGACCGCTATTCCAACATCTGGCCTGAGAACGCCCCGCATGGCCACAATCCAGCTCCCCCATGATCTGGCTCATTGCGGGAGATTCTCCGCGAGCGGCAGCGAATGACAGTAACCCAATCCCGCCGCTATCAGCGCCACTGCGGCATTGTAACGTCTTTTCTAGACGTTTGGTTGCTTTACCCAACAGCTGCTGGGTCGTTTCGGTCGTGTCTGGAGGCATTCTTCGTGATCAACATGGATTTCCTCAACTTCATAGATCCTTTAGAGCGGTCTCTTAATCGAAAGGGTCTTCCACGATACACGCGAGCGACAACCATAAGTACCAGCATGCCCCAGAACGAAGGAGCCGTATTCAACCTGATAAGACGCCTTCAAGAATCTATCAACAACCATATCTCAGGATCAACTCGTCCAGATGGCACAGACGATGGTTACCGAGAAAGCCCATGATACCATCGTTCACTCGGAAGATCCCAACGGCAACTTCGACCGCTCATGGAGAGAGGAGCACTGGGGCGACAAGCAATTGAGTGTTGCGGCCCGCGATGTTACCAGAGATGAGAAGGACATGACCATCAGAGAAGCTCTCAAGGTCTACAAGGTATGAGCATACACGACGAGATATGCTTAACTGTACTGACATCCCGCAGAAAGCCATTATGTGGTGCTTGATCATCTCGACTTGTGTGATTATGGAGGTACCAAGACCAATGCAGTATTCTACGCGTCTTACTTGTTCATACTGACCTAATCCCTAGGGGTTCGACACGAATCTTCTGGGCAACTTCTACGCATACCGTGCGTAGCAACCATTCTCATCCCCAAGCTTGCGGTGCTGACTTGGTGTCTTTAGCATCGTTCCAACGGAAGTATGGCCACTTTGTCGGTGTCTCGAAGCAAACCCCAACAGGTTATTCCCTTACCGCTGCCTGGCAAACCGGTCTCGGTCAAGGCTCGGGTAGGTTCGCCTGACGATATCTCTCCAGCTTATCATCGCTAACTGTGCCGCAGGTTGCGGTTCAATTTTGGGCACGATCATCAATGGCTGGTTGGTACAAGCATTTGGACCTCGCAAGGTTCTGCTATGCACGCTTTGTGTCATGACTTGCTTCCTCTTTATCGTGTTTTTTGCACCCAGCAAGGAAGTTCTCTTGGTCGGCCAGATCCTGTTGGGTTTCGAATGGGGAATTGTAGGTCACCACTGCCGCCGCGGGCTCAGCACTTTTGCTAATCAGGAACATAGTTCGCCACCACAGCTCCAGCATACGCCTCGGAAGTCCTTCCCTTGCAACTCCGTGTGTATTTCACCTCGTACACCAATATGTGCTTTATCCTAGGCCAATTCATCTCGGCGGGCCTGCTACGTGGCCTTGTTCATCGAGTCGACCAGTGGGGGTACCGTATTCCCTTCGCTGTGCAATGGGTCTGGCCCGCTTTTCTCATCCCGCTGATCTTCTTTGCCCCTGAGTCGCCCTATCATCTTGTCCGGCACAACAAGCTCGAGGAAGCAGAGAGGTCGATCCGAAGATTACAGGCTCCTGGACCGGGGCTGGATCCCAAGAGAACGCTAGCCCAAATCGTCTATACCAACAACTTGGAGGAGCAACTCAGCGTGGGCACGACAGTAAGTCGCCATGGTCACTAAGGGAGTTCCTCGTGGAGGCTAACTAATCATGCAGTATTGGGATTGCTTCAAGGGGTTCGAGAGACGGCGGACTGAGATTGCATGTGTGGTGTTTGGCGGCCAGCTCGTGTGCGGTCTCTGCTTTGCATATGCTTCGACATACTGTACGTCCCTAATCTTCAGACCGCACAGCCTGCAAAATGTCTAACAAGATACAGTCTTCCAGCAAGTCGGCTTGAGCACAGACGCGGCTTATTCCTTGGGCTGGGGTGCCAACGGGTTGGCATTCCTGGCGTGCTTGGCCAATTGGTTCCTTCTCATGCCGTAAGTACATGTCAATCCAGCCCCATATCAGGGATGCTCACCGTATCGCCTAGATACTTTGGTCGCCGCACAGTCTATCTTTGGGGCATGTTCTTCATGGCCACTGAGCTTTGCATCATTGGCATCCTCAACCCATGGACCGACCGCCCATCTGTCGCGTGGACTCAAGCCGTCCTCACGCTCGTCTGGACAGCTACATTTCAACTCAGTGCTGGCCAGCTCGGCTGGGCCTTGCCCGCCGAAATAGGGTCCACTCGCCTGCGACAAAAGACTGTCTGCCTCGCTCGGAATGTCTCCAACATCAGCGGCACGATTGGCGGAACTCTGGAGAACTACTTTATGAACCCGCAAGCATGGAATCTGCAAGGCTATACGGGATTTGTCTGGGGCGGCTGCGCCTGGCTGGTCTTCATCTGGGCCTACTTCCGATTGCCTGAGACCAAGGACCGCACCTTCCACGAACTCGACATCCTCTTCGCAAAGAACGTCCCCGCCAGGCAATTCAAGACGACTCAGATCGACGCATTCGACGAGCATGAGCAGAACCAACTCGCGGTCCGGTACTCAGTGAGCGCGCAGGCACCCGGACGTCCATCGTTCATCCCGTCGGTGACCAACGTGTTGGCCAGCCATGGACATGCCGAAGACACCCTTGCCCAACGACGGGGAAGCATCGTCAGTGCACAGAGTGGCTCCCGCAGACCGAGTATCGCCCCTGCTGTTACCGAGTACTTGAAGACGCACTGAGGAAGGGAAGAGGCCCGCAAACCGTGTCGAGAGTCGTGGCTGGCAGACTGGGAGAAGATTGTATCTGTGCCGCAATGAAGTGTCTGATCCTTTCAGCTGGTTATGTGGTGGCGTTAATGTCAATCTGCACTCTTGGATTTACTTGATCTAATCGCGTGAAGGTCCCCCGTGAGTGTGTCACATACCACAACCCCCGGTGCCCCGCCGTCTGCGTCGCGCCAAGGGATGGGAAATATGCTCTCAGCTCAACCTGGATTCGACGCAGGCTGATGGTGCCCTGTGCTCAACCCCGGCTCGTCCTGACTCGCGCGAGCCGCGTACAGAGGACAGCAGTGCAAGAAACAAAGCAAGACGGAAACCTCTTTCTTCATCTTGCATTCCACTTACTCTCAAAATCTTACATGATCATCAGGCACGACAGCGAATGGTATCCGCTCCCCGTCTTCGAGTTTCGCCCCCGCAGCCGCCCGAGGCGCACAAGGGTGGTGTGAAGGGATCCATCAGCGACACCACATCCAAGCCCGGCAAGGCAGGACGCCCAGTTCTACTCTCGTTCGATGAGATGCCAGAATGGTACCGACGTGAATCGAACCAGTGGATTCTCCATGGCTATCGGCCCATCTCGGCTCGGCTCGCGCTTCGTTCTACAGTTGGTCTTATATCCACAACGAGTCGGTCAACATCTATTCCCACCTCATCCCGGCCGTTTTCTTCCTACTCGGCGAGTGGTATATCCAGCGGTACCTTACCAGTAGATACTCCGGGGTCACTGGCGCTGATTTCGTTGCTTTCTCCATCTTCATGTTGGCGGCCGTTACGTGCCTGTCTTTGTCGGCGACGTACCACACCTTGATGAACCACTCCCAACACATGGAACACTTCTGCCTGCGACTGGATATGCTGGGTGTAGTGATCTTTATACTGGGCGACCTTGTCTTGGGCATATATATGGTTTTCTGGTGTGAGCCTTTACCACGCAGTATCTTCTGGGCTATGGTTAGTTAATCTCCATGTGCACAGTTTTGTTTTTCCCTCATCTTAGACCTGGTACTTAAGTCTAACACTCTTTAATTAAGATTGGAGTTTTCGGGACGTTGACTATCTTCATGACGATGCATCCCAAGTTCCAGGGCTCAAAGTATCGCCTCTTCCGAGCGTTGATGTTCGTGGCGACTGGCTTGTGCGGTGTTGCGCCCTTGGATCTATGGACTCAGTGTGTTCGGCATGTCGCAGATGATGAGAAAAGCGTTTCCCTATACTATGGCAAAAGCAGGCTGCCTCCTATCCGGGACTTGGTTTTATGCAGTAAGTCTCCTATTTTCGTACACAAAAGAGCAATTGACCCTAACACGTGTGGTTCTAAGACCAGGTTTCCCGAAAGTCGATACCCTGGCAAATTCGACCTCTGGGGCTCCCATTCGATCTTTCACATCCTGGTGGTATGCGCCGCGGTGGTCCAGTTGATGGGGTATCTGGATGCCTTCGACTATGCTCACGCAAATCTTACTTGCTCGTCTCGTTGAGCACAAGAAACAACACGAGACGTCCGAGTCCCTTGACGAGCATTGTTCTGAAAATGAAAACGACGTGCATATAAGTAGAAAGTGTTGTAAATCGCTCTGCGTGCGGTGAGTCTACAGTCTAAGTAGATTCACTTGAGGGGAGTGGTAATAGTATAATACCGCCTAAGGGTGAGGGTTCGCGGTGACTTACAGCGGCGTATTCGTGAAGCAATACTCCCATATCTGCGGTGAGCACGCACCGTCGGTGGTGATCCATAAGTGAGCGGCGAGCAGATTTGACTCTTGCTCGAGGCGCCAAGCTTGCGGAGAAGGACGTGACACGAGACACGAGACGCAAGTCTGAGCAAACCAAGAGATCAAGAGACCAAGAGCCCTGCCCTGCGCTTCACCACTTTTTCTCCGTTCTCCATCTTGATCACTTTTCCTCCAAAGCACTCGATCGTGGCATCTGATGCCCGAGATATATGTTAGCACGGGGGCCCAAGTCGGTCTACGTCTGTCTGCGATGTCAGAGAAATTTACTCGGTGACAACCTCAACCACCCTGCTCGCGTGCTTCGGCGATGGCAGAGTGCAGCTCCAAGCCGAGCGGCACTCGACGACATCGACTACGGCGATGACAGCAATAGCACCTCCGTCCATCAGCCTCAAGATGAAAGCCTGTCCCGACCCCGGCCCCGTGGCAAACGACAGTTTTGGCGAAAGTGGAAGCCGGATCCCACAGCTCAACTGGGCGTCAACTCCCTAGGCAAACCTGCCGAAGTCATCCTGCTTCCTTCAAGGGACCGCAAGATAACCCAAGTACCCAAGGGGGACCGAACGGAACGAGCTGGAACCACACTACAGGAGTCGCTCGATTCGGAAAATGTCCCGCTGAGCGGTGCAAAGTTGGCAGAAAATATCGAGCAGATACGCCTTCTGGTGGGAAAGATGCGCGGGCAATTGGAAAAGCACGAGTGGAAGACATTGAAACGGAATCTGAAGACCGGGTTCCAGACTTCACAGTTGAAGAAGTACATCCGTCTGCGGAAAGGCGACCATGGTCCTCCTCCAGAGCTGCGCAGGAACCAGAACAAGGACGACATCATCAGATACTTGGCCGAGGAAATCTGGGGCTTCATCACTCCTGCGCGCGACGAGATTCCGACGCTGCCGGACAAGACCGGGAAAAAGGTCAAATTCTCCTTCAATCTAGACGGGCAGGCCAAGTTGGAACACCTTCTGACGCATCCAACCCAGCCGTTGAAGAGCATTGCAGAGGAACACGATGTGCAGATTGACGTGTACCCTTCTCAATCCCGGATCAGGACAACGGGATACAAGCACGATGCGAATCGAGCGCTACAGAAGCTTGTTCGTTACGCGAAGGACCTCGCCTTGGTCGTCATCCCACTGCAAGGACCTTTGGGACTGGTATATCGCAATCGCACTGGGGAGGACTATGCCGATGCCTACCTCAAGTCTCTTCGGCGGAAGTACCAAGGACTGACTATCGCGCGGGACAAGGAACACATCACACTGATTCACCTGAACAACCCCCGTGCAGCCGACCAAGCCCGCCGCGAGATCTTGCTCTCCGCTCCACTGAAGGACGATACGCAGCAGCCAATTGTCTGGCCAGACGTGGATGAGCTGACCACCAGCCTCCAGCCTGTTCCTGCTCCCCCCGAACTTTCCGTGATGTTGCATCAATACCAGTGGCTGAGATTGGTCTCATCTGGTGTCAGTCCGCAGACTGTCGGGAAACCCCCCTTCCGCCGCATCTTGAAAGGCTTGCGAGACGCATTCGACCCTATCGTCGCACTTGGCAAAGCAGGGAACAGACAAGAGCTCTATTGTGATCTCAGTGCGAAGTTTGGTCAAGCGTTAGTCCAGGAAGTCCCACTGCCCGTTGATGTCGAAAACAAAGTAGCAGTTGGGGACGAAGGAGATTTGGAAGCGGAGGATGAACCAAAGCAGGCAGGTCTCCGTGGAGAAAAGTCATCTGAAGCGGGTTGTGCAGAAGCGAGTGACCCCCGCGACTTTCGGATAAAGAAGTCAACTCTGGGAACTGCCGGACCTCCCACTGAGGCGCCTTCACAAGTCCAAGCCGTGGCAGGGGATGCCGGAAAGGCGGAAGCATTAGCGCCTTCAACACCATCAGAATCTCACGAAAGAAGGCTTTTTGTCGGTGGAGCTCCATTCTTGGCACAACATCTTGCCAGAATGGACCCATGGCCTGAGCAGTCGTCCGGGGATATAGAGGCCAGCGCTCGCGCCATACTGCGGCTAGAGGTCTCCCCAGTCTCGACGGCTGGTTTGATTGAGTCTCCTCGATTCGAAATCTTCGTGACTGCTGGTGAAGAAGCTGATGGGAAGAGATCTCTCCTCAGCATCGCCAGGATATCTGCCATCCATCAAGAGGATTACTTCACTGTATCGTGTCCGCGGAACGACGTCGATGTCGCCTTTACACTGCAGCTCAAGCAGGACCTTGCTTATCCCGGGTCCGTCGATACCCCCGTTTCCCAATCGTTGATGAACGCATTCCGCAGCTATATTGGCCACGCCCAGTCGACCGGCTCCTCCGACTGGGTCTTTCTGCCCTTTGTCACCCTCCCGATCCATCACACACTGATGAACACGCACGAGCACGTCCAGCACGCTACGGCTAAAAATTGCAAACCAGCCCGACAAAAGCGGAGGAGGTCCGCACAGGCCGATGTTAAGCTCGAGTATCTTCTTCGCACGGTAGATGTCGTCGACGTTGACTCGAGGACACTCTCGCTTCGGTCACCCAGCGCGCCTGCCAGGATGAAGGAGACGGAAAACCCAACGAGAACGCAATCTCTTTCGAGTGTGGCACACTTCTGCCTCGACCATATCACCTACACCGGCGCAGACGCCACTAGACAAGAACTCCGTCTGGCCCAAAGTCCAGTCCTCCACCCACCAACGCTGTCGGCACCACAACCACATCTCCCTTCGTTCGTAGGCGCCGCACTAGGCCTGGCTGGGCGGTTGAGTGACAATCCCCTGAGACCCCGGTATCCCGGCAGGCAAGAGCTTGAGTTTGAGCCGCTACAGGACGACATGGAGGTTCAAGGGGAAAGGAAAGACACCGAGTCAGCCACAAACCCGCACTCCGAAGACAAGGCGAAGCCGAAGAAACGAAAGGCAGTAAAGAAAGGTCAACAGTCGAAGCCGAAGCCAAACCCAAACCCAAACCCAAACCCAAAGTCGAAGTCGAAGCCAAAGTCGAGGATGAATATCAAGCTGGCCGAGAACAACAAGCCCAAGACCAAGACCAAGGTTTCAGCGGACTGAGTCTCTTTCTACCTTCTACCTGTACTGTATAAAAACTACTGGACATGTTCTGATCATGTACCTATGTACCTATGGACCTATGGACCTACGGACTCTGTACTGTGCATGTGTCCCGTTTTCACCTCTGTACGTTTACGACGAAGATAGAAATGTCGTTCCTATCGCGATCTCTGTACTTCCGTATATTTGTAAATATGTATAGACGCTCGAATCTATATGACACACACACACACACACACACACACACACACACATATATATATATATGTATATAACATACCTAGGTACATGTAGATGTATGTTTAGACGTATATATATGTATGGTGGCATGGATCCACCGAGTGGACTTACTTCCTTGAACGGGTCATTGTCCTCTATACAGAGTAGACTCCTGAGTATCCCCATCTGGGATCTCCCACCTCCCGTCTCCCTTCTCGGTCTCCATCTCAAATGTCACATGTCACATGTCACATTTCCACTTTCATGAATGGACTTTGGTCCTGGTTCTGGTGCCTGCTCTGTATACTCGTACCTTGTCCGGTCTTCGCTTCCTTAGTCTACATACGTTATCCTGGTTCCGGATTCTTTCCCGGCCCTGCCCTGCCTCGCCATTGCCCACCTCGCCTCAATCATCTCATCTACTCTTCAAACAAGGCAATGATGCTCACCGCACTCTAACGCTCCAACTCCTCAGATCATCACGTAGCTCGAATTCCGTATATTCCTTCTGCTCGGCCTGGCTGCGCCGCCTGTTCCCATGCTCCGCTTGACTCTGCTGGACCTGCTGGTCGATACTGGACCGGCCACTCACCGCACCCATTACGCCGCTGCCTGCCGGCCCAGGCGTCTGTATGGACAAGTTCAAGTTCGGCGTCACCGAGGGAACAGGCGAGTCTCTGCTCGTGCCGCGTCGATGGCCCTGAGGTTGCGGACTTGCACCCGGCGCCGCCATCTGCGGAGTCAGGAAGGTCTGCGGCGCGAGGAGACTCGGACGTGGCGTGCTTGATGGGTGGTGGCGCTGTGGAGGGTTCGTGTGACCGTGCCGGTGCCGTTCGTCGCTCGAACTACTGTTCCTGCTCTCCTCTCGGCGGCCTAGTCTTGCTGGGTTGGGATGATGCGAGCTCGAGGATTTCTTGGGCGACGATGGCGGGCGCCCGCCGTCCCCTCCTGCGAAAAGGTTTTCAATCAGTTTGTCCGGCGCGAGCTCGCCGGCCTGGCATGCCCATGTCGCCGCCAGGGTCCGGCGATAGATGTCCTGGGCTTCGGCCAGCTCGCGCGTCTTGGATGTGATACTGGGGATGTCCTCGCCGTTGGCGCCGCCTCCCCCACCCAGCACCCCCGCCTCCGTGGTCAGCACGCCCGCGATCCCGCCAACCACCATGGCGGATTTGAGTGGCGGGGCGATAAAGTTCATGTCCCCCTCGGTCTGGCGCATGAGGATGCCAATCTTCAGCGTGCTATTGATTTTGCTGTCTTGCAGGAGGTAACGCCGCGTGATGCTGCCTTCCTCCTCACCTTCATCTTGCGGATCGCGATCCGGACCTAGGTCTGGCAGTCGTGTGTATTCTGCAAGGTTCAGCTTGACGTTGCCGAGGTGGACTCGGCCTCCACGCCCGCCGTCGTGGAACTCCTGCAGCACTTCAAAGTGGATGTCGCACTCTTGGAGGTTGCCGTTCTTGTCGATCGTCAGCCGCACGGGCAGCGTCTTGACGTACTCCCATGTTGCCTTGTGTTCGGAGATCGGGGCCGAGGGCGTGCGGCCGCGGTGGTCGGCGGTGGTGGAGGAGGACAGATGCCAACGCACGGTGGCCGTGCCAGCTACGAGTGGGATGTTGGTGAGGTCGATGATGCGGAGCGTGAGATCGAATTTGGGCTACATTGCCACCGCTCGTCAGTATGCGTAGGGAGGTAGCACAGCTCAGCTCAGCTCATACCTTTCTGTTCTTGGGCACTGCGAAAGCGAGGTTGATCAGTGCATGTTTTCGCAGCATGGTGGTGGCCGTAGACGAAAACACATTTCCGGATTCCAGGGCCGTCGCAGAGACAAGAAACGACAACAGATGGACTTACCGAAAGCTTGCATATTGGCGGCACACGGAAGCGCACGATGGGCTTTTGTTCGCAAGATAGACACTCACCCACAGACACAGACACGGACACGGACACGTTCACATGAATTCCAGCATTGGCCAAACGACCGTCACTCCGTTCCTTCCATTCCCGGCTGCTCGGGTCTTCCTCTGGCTCGGATGGCTGCTATGACGGCGCACGGGGCAGATGCAGGACCGCATACGCTGCTAAGCTCCAGACGCGAAGACGAGAGTGGTGAGGGTAGGTGTGCTTGCAATAGGAAACAGGAAAGATTGTGAGTGGGAGGGGCGAGCGCAGATCCGCTTGCTCCGGCGGCGGAACGCACCCAGAACGACGTGATGTTTATTATTAGTCAGCAACGGGCACTCTTTCAACTGGCGACCGCTGTTGGCAACGATGCCTACAAATTGGCACCCGCTGTTGGCAACGATTGACGTCGACGTCGACGTCGGTCTAAATGAGATTGTGACCCCTCGATTATGCCTGTTCGGCTTCTAATGTCTAACCCACCGCAAGCGCCCCTGCAAGAAATCTATCGCCCCTCCTCAAGTAATGTACACGTCGAATGATAACCCTGGTTTGCACCCCATCTAGAACTTGTGCACCTCTTCCTTGCTGTATCCCAGTTCACCAAGGATTCCACCAAGGCTACCCTGTGTCCAACCGAAGCCGCCCTTGGCCCCAGCAACTGCCTCGATCATCGGGGGAGGACCGCTGACGAGGACCTTCACGTTTCGTTCATTCAACTTGTGAGGCATCACCTGGCTCAATATCGCTTTCGTGATATAGCCCTTTTGATAGGTGCCTTCGTTCTCTGGCGTGGTCTTGCTGACGACATACGTCCTGTTGAACCGATCGGGGAACTTCTGAGCAAGGTCGTCGAACTCCTTCTTCAAAAGGATGTCCTCTTCGGAGTTGTTGGCGTAGACCAGCGCGATTTTGGTCTTGTCTTCGGGATTATCCAGGATAGCTCGAGTGAGCTGGTAGATCGGAGTGATGCCAGAGCCGCCGGCGACGAATGTCATGGCCGAGTATTCATTGGGCTTGTAGTCGAATTCATGTAGTGGCTTGAACAACATCGAGTCACCCGGTTTCAGTGAGTGCATCTTGCCCGAGCCCTTGCCGTTAGGATATTTCTTGACCATGAACGTGACATAGCCGGGCTGGTCTAGAGTAGACTGTCAGTTCAGCCATTTGCGCTGTAGATACAGGGGACTTACCATTGGCGCTGACGGGCGTGTACGGTCTGAAGACTGGGATGAAGCCACCCTCGGGCGTATGTCTGGTCAGAAGAGATGCTGTGACCGAGTCAGAACAGGTATCTTCCACACTGAAGAAGCGTCTGTACGTACTGATTGGGGAAATACCGGTGATCGACTGATCATCGGGGAGAGCGAAAGTCAATCTCTTGACATTGTGGTTGACCATCTCGGCCTTTTCAAGCTTGAGCTCGGTGAAGCCTTTCCATGTCATCTTCTTCAGCGCCGCTTGAGCATCTGAAGGCGGTGACTCGGCATGAACTGTGTTGAACTGAAAAAAAGTTGTATTCCAGTAGTGACAGGCCGAGTACCCAGCAGTGGCGCCGACAGCGGCCACGCTGACCATTCTCAGTGGTCGAATGCCGGACATTTTGTTGGAAGAAAAGCCTAACGTCGATTGTGTCAAAGTCCAAGTCGTGATCTCGACTGACAAAGGACGGGAGAAACCAGTCTTTTGTTGATGGAGAAGCTGATCAGAGGCTGGTGGTGACTGGCGTAGCCCCTGAGTTCAACGTCCGTAATTCGGTGAAAAAAGACCTGGGCAACAATGCAATGCCGAACAAAGAAGCTGCAATAAGATGGGTTCAACAAGTCCCGCCGATAATTAAAGCTGGAATTGGTGAAGGGGAGAAGACCAGAGCAAGATGTCAAACGTCGTCGACGTGTTGATGAATGTCTCCAGAGAAAAAAACGACTCAGCACAAGTCGGCCCCCGGAGGTGGATCTGCCCGATGGCGAGAGCTGCGACTGCCAGATCGGGCCCAGGCACGGCCCTTGACTGGACGGGAAGCCGCACGTGCGGGTTGATAAGGCGCCGAAGGCGTGCAAAAAGGCCAGGTTAGCCGGATCTTTTGGGACAGCCCTATGAGAACTAAAAATATCCATCTGCTTGGCCAGCTTGGGGTCACTCCTAACGGCCAGCCACCACCGACGGAAAGTAGCGGGCAAGGCTGTCCAGAGTAGGGGTGATCGAGACACAACCGTGGGCATGATACAGCTTGCATCAACGATCCATGAGTAGCCCTCACACTAAGCGCGCGCTCTAGCGATGTCACGAAGTGTAATAAGTCTCGATCGGGTTTCATTGCCCTGCTGAGGAAGATCATCATCTGAGGAAGCGACTGGCTCGATTTTACTGCAAGTCCGTTTACACTTGAGCGCGACGCTGTTGCTGTTCATCTTCGATGCACGTCCAGGCAGGATTGTCCCCTGTTTCTCGACAAGGCTCAGTCCTGAGTGAATGCCAAGACAGCGTCTACATCTATAACGAATTTTGATGTTCGAGTCGGAAACAAGTCCAGCCGTTGTGCCAGCATAAGATGCGAGCCACCTCTCTCACTGAACCGCTACGCAGATGCAATATCGCACGTTCTGGCATTGCTTATCGATCGATCAGTGGCTGCATGTCGACTGATCAGGTCCAAAGGCTGCAACCTTCTGAATCATAGACAGAGATTGCCTGATGGTCGTGTAGCGTCGTGGTGTCGCAGCATCGACGCGGCCACCATCACCACAGCGCGCTGCCCTTTTGAGGCGACCCCGAGAGCAGACAAGCCGGCAGTATCTGGATGAAACCACGGCAGCCAAGGTTCCGACGTTGCACGTGGTGGCCTTCGCGTGCATGCTTGAGGACCTGACTTGTACAACAGAAGCAATGGGTTTCCCACACTCGTTGTGCAACGCACGAACCGGATACTTTGTCCTCAGACGGTCGAGCACCAGCTCCATGCGCCCAAGCGCGTTGGAAACTATTTCCCACTTGGTTTCGGACAGCATCACACGCGTTTCTCATCGCACGATCCCCGGGTGCAGAGGCCAGGTGCAGGTTGCAGCACTGTATCTCAATTGTTTTCGCTTGACTTCCGTCCCTATGCCGTGCGATGCTTAGTGGTTGGAGAGCTGGGTGGCGGCCCAATGTGCAGCCGGTAGCAAGTAGATGAATCTCGTACTGCGGCGTCAAGAATTTCGCCCTCCCCAGAGTATGTCAGAGCAGCGGCTTGAGACGGTGGCAGTGAGCGAGGAACGTTGGCCAGCTCAGATGACTGCCTCGAGTGCTCACCCTGTGAAGAAAACTGTGCTCGCGAAGCGGCTGCACTCAGTCCGATACGCGCATAAATCCGCCATGAGCATAATCCATGTGTGAGTGTCAAAAGGGGTGTCAGATCAGCTCATCTTCTCAGCCTGACCCAGACCATGGTCAAGTCTCTCAGCAAGGTAAACACGAGGCTCAGACATCCTTCGTGCAAGAACCCCTGCAATCGGTGGGCAGAACACTCTGGAAATGATAGCCGCTCGGATCTGTGCACGACAGGATGCATGGAAACATCGACTCAGGTGCAGTGGTCAGGCATTCGCGGCGGTTCCGCATGTTGCATGAGAGGAACCCTGATCCTAAGACAAGGACACGTACTGCGAACCTCAGTGTGAGTACTCGTACCTAGTGAGATGGGCGATCCACGAGAGTTTCACAAACCGAGGGAGCACTTGTAGTAATACGGAAGTACATTCTGTAAGCCACGCATACCAGGTACGGACACGAAGGTACTTTTGAAGACTCTTGCTTCATCGTCACCACCGAAAACGAATAGGCGAGCCACGTGACTGACGATCATCCGGCGCAACCGACGCAGGCCAAATGCCGGGGTGAGTCCAGGCCGATGTTTCCATGCACCGCCACGAGCCATGGCCACCGGTTTCCGTTTCCAGCCTCGCTCTTCCCGAAGAATGACCTCATCGTCTTCTGGTCTGGCAGAATTCTTTGTTTCCTCTACAAACATTACCATCTGAGGGTCGGGGATCGTCAATCTGAAACATGCACTTCTTGCCGCGAGATACAGCGTCGGCGGCTGCTGCAACGCGTCCGGGGTTTCTTCATGCCCTCCCAGCAGCCTGCCGAGCAGGTAGCGCACGGCAGGCACCGTCACATGATGCTGGGCGAAGGTCAAGTCAAAAATTGCCTTAGCCAATCAGACCCGGTAGCAGGGATGTTGCGATAAAGTGGCACGCCAACGTTCGTCGCCAGTCGCCAATCCGCTTGCAGAAGTGCCTTCTGACGAGGATCACCTCAGCTGCCTCCGCTAGCTAACTCGGGCGGATTTGCAGACGACCTCGTTCTTCGTCAACGACTGGTTGTGCGCAACCGGCCGTCAACCAGTCATCACGACACCCCCAACACAAGCCAGAATGATTTTGACCTTGCCTGAGGTTCTGAACACGAGTCCTCAGAGTCTTTGGCGACCGAGACCCTCGAGGATGGAGCGTTTTTGTGTCTGAAACTTCAGGACCCCGTGCCACTAACTCGGGTCTGCAAATCGTGTTGATGACTTTACAGACACTTCTGGTTCCTTGAGACAGCCGCCGCAACCGTTGGGGGTCTCTTGGAGTGATAAAGCTTTGGGGTTCGCGCATCTTTCTACGAATGCGCCAACAGGGCTCAAAGCAGAGGTCACTCCTTCTCCAGCCCCCGACAACGGATTATCAGGCTACGTGATGTCCCCGTTTCACGGAGTCAGGAGCAATCGGGGCTCTTTCCAAGCATGGTTCTACGAAGCATGATTGAACAGTGCTGAGATTGAAGGCGGCCTAGGTGGCCGTAAGTGATGGTCACGCCTCATCAGCCCGGTGTCCCGTGCATTTACGAA